AGCCATTATTATGAGCCGTCCTCCCCTCAGCAGCCTCCACTGCCCAGTAGTATATTGTCCAAGCCGGGGGAAGTTAGAGTAAGAAGCACATGGTTGTGCAGCCAGGCAGAGGAAAAGAGAGAGAGAGAGAGAGGGCGCGTTGTAGTGATACCGGTCTTCATTCTTCTAAGAGGAACAGCAAAGGAATGAAAACAAAGGCTTGTGGGATTATAAGAGGTTGAGTGTTCCCATCTGTGTTTAAACTAGATCCTACTTAAAGGAAGCTTTTAGACTAATGAGTAGGCTAAGATGTAGTCATGTAGGTAGTTAAAAACAAGTGGTAAGGCTAATTCTTTGGGAAGAGATTGGGAAAAAGTTGGTGTGTGTGTGTGTGTGATACTGCAGGGAAAATCAGGGCCAAGTCAGGCAGCTAGAGAGCTAAAATCACATCAATGCCCTTCTGCGGACGACAGATTTGTTTATGGTGCAGTGGAAAAGAATATTTTCCCATCCCTGCCCTTTCACACACACACACACACACACAAGCGGGTGTGCACACACACACTCATACACACACAATGGCACGCAGAAACACATGCACACACACATGCACACAAAAACACATGCACACACACATATACACACATCATTTTTCTGTCAGCAAAAGACAGAGTAGCAGCATCAAGGATTGCTAAATATAGCAGTCAGTCCTCAGAGCAAAATAGCCATTCTTTTTCTGACTGAGCACAGACAAACATTGTCATGCATTTGAGAATTTTTGTTTTACGCAACGTGAGAAGTTACAGATAACTTTCTCAAACAACATTGTTGCTGATTGTTACCAGAGCAATGATGTCATTATATTTGGTTGGACATTGTACAGTAACATTTAAATGGCAGATATTTCCATGCACTGCTCCATGCACTGCTCCTGAGTGGCGCAGTGGTCTAAGGCACTGCATCTCAGTGCTTGAGGCGTCACTACAGACTCCCTGGTTCAATTCCAGGCTGTATCACAACCGGCCGTGATTGGTCCCATAGGGCAGCGCACAATTGGGCCAGCGTAGTCTGGGTTTCGCCGGTGTAGGCCGTCATTGTAAATAAGAATTTGTTCTTAACTGACTTGCCTAGTTAAATAAATCATGGAGTTTTACTTCATGGCTAGGTATGTAAATACATTATCTTAATCTAAATGTTAATGCTACTTTATCTTTAAAGAGAAAAGGATTCATTTTGTGTGTGCTTTTTGTGAATGGTGGATTGGTTGTGGGTGTGTGTGTGTGTGTGTGTGTGTGTGTGTGTGTGCATGCGTGCGTGCGTGTGTGTGTGTGTGTGTGGGTGTATGCACAGATTGGTTGATTAGTACCCAGCAGGCTGCTCTACACTAGTTTAAGGTGAGGCTCCATGCGGTGGCAGATGCTGTAGCTGGCCTGGCCCAGCCTGGCCTCCCAGACATGATAGCAGACAGGCAAGCAGCACCATATGCCCTGTCTATACCCATTACACATACCCTATCACTTAGCCTACATAGGCTGACTCACTGAGAGAGAAGCCAAAGCTTTTTGTTGAATTTCTTATTCTTGAAAACCTCATTCTTGTTAGTCTGTGTTCAGCAGCAGTATACCTCTCTTTTCATGGTCTTTAGCTAATTGCTTTAAAGGTAAATGCATTGAATGCTTATTACACTCTCCCTGATAGTTTATGCAATGCGTATAAAACAGGCTTACAGTGCGTGCTCAGTATAGACATTAGAAAACTTCCCAAGAAGCTTTATTTAAACGCTAGGTTTATCTATAAATCGTGGCATTGACCTCCAGATATAGACTAGAGCATCATGTTCAGTGTGTCTCCCAGTAGGGCGTCCTGGTGTCCAGTAGGGTGTCCTGGTGTTCAGTAGGGCTTCCTGGTGTCCAGTAGGGTGTCCTGGTGTCCAGTAGGGCGTCCTGGTGTCCAGTAGGGCGTCCTGGTGTCCAGTAGGGCATCCTGGTGTCCAGTAGGGCGTCCTGGTGTCCAGTAGAGCTTCCTGGTGTCCAGTAGGACATCCTGGTGTCCAGGAGGGCGTCCTGGTGTCCAGTAGGGTGTCCTGGTGTCCAGTAGGGCGTCCTGGTGTCCAGTAGGGCGTCCTGGTGTCCAGTAGGGCGTCCTGGGGTCCAGTAGGGCGTCCTGGTGTCCTGGTGTCCAGTAGGGCGTCCTGGTGTCCAGTAGGGTGTCCTGGTGTCCTGGTGTCCAGTAGGGTGTCCTGGTGTCCAGTAGGGTGTCCTGGTGTCCAGTAGGGTGTCCTGGTGTCCAGTAGGGCGTCCTGGTGTCCTGGTGTCCAGTAGGGCTTCCTGGTGTCAAGTAGGGTGTCCTGGTGTCCAGTAGGGCGTCCTGGTGTCCAGTAGGGCGTCCTGGTATCCAGTAGGGCTTCCTGGTGTCCAGTAGGGCGTCCTGGTGTCCAGTAGGGTGTCCTGGTGTCCAGTAGGGTGTCCTGGTGTCCAGGAGGGCATCCTGGTGTCCAGTAGGGCGTCCTGGTGTCCTGGTGTCCAGTAGGGCGTCCTGGTGTCCAGTAGGGCGTCCTGGTGTCCTGGTGTCCAGTAGGGCGTCCTGGTGTCCAGTAGGGCTTTCTGGTGTCCAGTAGGGTGTCCTGGTGTCCAGTAGGGTGTCCTGGTGTCCAGTAGGGCGTCCTGGTGTCCAGTAGGGCGTCCTGGTGTCCAGTAGGGCATCCTGGTGTCCAGTAGGGCGTCCTGGTGTCCAGTAGAGCTTCCTGGTGTCCAGTAGGACATCCTGGTGTCCAGGAGGGCGTCCTGGTGTCCAGTAGGGTGTCCTGGTGTCCAGTAGGGCGTCCTGGTGTCCAGTAGGGCGTCCTGGTGTCCAGTAGGGCGTCCTGGGGTCCAGTAGGGCGTCCTGGTGTCCTGGTGTCCAGTAGGGCGTCCTGGTGTCCAGTAGGGTGTCCTGGTGTCCAGTAGGGTGTCCTGGTGTCCAGTAGGGTGTCCTGGTGTCCAGTAGGGTGTCCTGGTGTCCAGTAGGGCGTCCTGGTGTCCTGGTGTCCAGTAGGGCTTCCTGGTGTCAAGTAGGGTGTCCTGGTGTCCAGTAGGGCGTCCTGGTGTCCAGTAGGGCGTCCTGGTATCCAGTAGGGCTTCCTGGTGTCCAGTAGGGCGTCCTGGTGTCCAGTAGGGTGTCCTGGTGTCCAGTAGGGTGTCCTGGTGTCCAGGAGGGCATCCTGGTGTCCAGTAGGGCGTCCTGGTGTCCTGGTGTCCAGTAGGGCGTCCTGGTGTCCAGTAGGGCGTCCTGGTGTCCTGGTGTCCAGTAGGGCGTCCTGGTGTCCAGTAGGGCTTTCTGGTGTCCAGTAGGGTGTCCTGGTGTCCAGTAGGGTGTCCTGGTGTCCAGTAGGGCGTCCCGGTGTCCAGTAGGGTGTCCTGGTGTCCAGTAGGGTGTCCTGGTGTCCAGTAGGGCGTCCTGGTGTCCATTAGGGTGTCCTGGTGTCCAGTAGGGCATTCTGGTGTCCATTAGGACGTCCTGGTGTCCAGTAGGGCGTCCTAGTGTCCAGTAGGGTGTCCTGGTGTCCAGATCTCAATCCAGTTACAAAATGGCTATCTGAGGCACGTTGCACCGTGACGAGGCCAGGAGGGCATACTATTTCTGACTGCCATAATTGTTCAGATTACAGTACTTCCTCCTGTCAACCACACCTGGCTGGGAGGGGCTAGGTTCTCCTCATGTTCTCCTCAGGTTCTCCTCAGCCTGATTCACACTATAGGACCTAAGCGACCCAACCCTAGCCGAGCTGTACTGGGCTGGCCTGGTTCCGAATCCCCCATAGTTGATAGAACCGTACTGAAAAGGACAATTTAAGAATAAAATATCTGAGCAAACACAATACAGGTTGGATCGGCCCCAGAAGGTGAATCGGTCATTAAGGCTCTCCTCAGGTCTGGGGTGATTGAGGCTCATCTACTTTAGAACCTCACTCACTCCCACGGAATAAGACCAATCAATGGACCTGTCCATACACTCAGACCAGGCTGGCAATGGAAAATGTAGGAGTTACGACCGTGCCGTCTCAGGTCAATGGGAACCTTAGGAGGCTGTTCAGGAGCAACTTACTTGACAGATCAACATCGACTGAAAGATATGGACTTGAGAGGATCAACCAACTATATAGGCTAATGATTATAAAATGTTTTGTCACATTGGTCATTGAATGTAGTGTAAATACAGACTCTAAAGGATTGTTTAATGGCTATTCTTATAAAATATATGCATGTTACATGCCAACTAGATCCGTGCTGGTTTATTTCAGTTGTTGTACTGTGATTCAGAGAAGGTTAACAGATGCTCTATGAGCTGTTGATTAACACTCTTTGATAACAAACAGATTATATATTGGGGAAAGGGAAGGGTACCAAAATAGGGTAATCAATTTGCTTCATCACATTTTTAATTGAGTCAGCCAGTTGTTTCATATTATACAACGGGTGGGTCTAGATTGGTTAAATGCGCATTCCAGCCGGTGTCTATTCCACAAGTTACCACCGGCTAAATCTATGACGTTAAAATGCCTATTTACTCTGTTCTATCTGACTGCGCAATCCACTGTCTCATCCAGCCCAGGAAGGGAGGTTATAAACTTGATCTCCACTATAAAAAGCACCTAGACATTATCTTGCATTTCTTTTAGACTAACATTTTGTTTTCAACAGCGGAGATTTGTATAAACCTTGCTGTCTGTCTATCCGACAGTTGTTTCATAATGTGTAATTGAATTAGAGCGCTCCCTGTGGCGTAAGAATGTGACAGTCATATTGTGTGTGTGTGTGTGTGTTTGTGCGCATGCTCGTGCTGTACTGTGTCTGTTTGTCTGTGTCCCTCCAGTCATGTATGTCTGTGTCTATTCTTCCAGGGAGCAGCTGGGATGTGGAAATCATTAGCAGGGTCCAGGCAGGGTCCTCGCCACAGTGTGTGATCTCATCCTCCTGTGGGCAGAGGAGGCCTCTGGTCGGGCGTGATCCCCTGCTCTCGGTGGTCCACCTGGAGGTCCAGTGATGGCTCATGCACGAGATGATCCCCACCTGGGCGCCGGCCCATCCGAGGATTCTGAACTCTCTGAGAATGAGTCAGAAACGGCGAGCTTGGTGTCGGAGGACTCTATCATGCCAGACTATGAGATGGAGCGGGGTGGAGGGGGCACCACCTTTACGCTGTACGAGGCCTGTAACAGGAACGAGGCGCTAACGTTACGGAGGGTCCTGGAGAGGGGGGTTACTAAGGAAGAGGTTATGGAGCTGGACATCAATGGCAGGGTAAGGACTATGTCATGTTTCCCTCTGGTGGTCCTGGGTTCAATAAGTATTTGATTACTTTCAAATACTTGAAGCGTTTGCTCGAGTATTCCAAGAAAACCTTATGGCCTCAGATGTTGTACCTTAGACTAGAGCCGTGTTTCTCAACCTTTGGCCTGCGGACTGGCAATGATCCCTGGGATGATAGAGACTGATCCTTGAGATGGTTGGCTGACACTTTTTTTGTCAGTTACTCAAGTGTTAGTTTTAATGTAAAAGGTCCCACAAGAAGGAAGAGCAAAAGCTTGCCAGTTCCTGGTACATAAAAGGTTGAGAAACACTGCATTAGAGCATATTGAATGATCACATTTCTGCGTTCTGCTTTGTATCCATGTCAGAATGGCCTGATGCTTGCAGTCTCCAGAGGCTATGTGGACATCGTCTATGGTCTACACACATGTCCACTGATCGATATTAACCATCAGGACAACGAAGGCAACACAGCACTGATGATCGCTGCCCAGGCCGGTAAGCATTGCAATATTATGGTGGCTAGCTTTGGTGAGCATATCATATCATAGCATATCATATCAATAGAAGCACCTATTTCATGGTCTGGTAGGGATCACATAATTATACTCAGGGGTGTAACTGGAGAAAATAAATCACTCAAGGAACTTTATCACAGTCATCGGCCATTCAGCTACAAAACGTGTTAAAATGTTCCCCAGAAGATTCCCACCCAATTCCACCTGTGATAACAACTATGGCAACTCAAAACTTCCTAATAACAGCCCCTCTCTCCACCCAGGCTACGTCTCCATCCTGAACTTCATCCTGAACTACTACCCTAAGGTAGACCTGGAGGTGAGGGACATCCGGGGCTTCACTGCCCTCATCAAGGCAGCCATACAGGGCAGGGTAGACTGTGTGTCTTCCCTCCTCATGGCCGGTAAGTGGCTAAAGACAGTCAAATCAAGAATTGGAGTAGTCCTTGAACAAAAGTCTTTGAGTGCAGGAAGGACTTCTAAAGACTATTTCCATGGGTTTTTCTTTTCCACGTGGCGTAAAACCTCACTCTCCATACTGACAACTTCCTAACTGATATCTTATGTATATTCTCGAATCAGTAGAGGCACAGTTACTCTGGTGAAATGGGTTATCAACTTATCATCATGGAACTAGAATGACTATTGTATTATTCATTATGTTTCTATGGTTACCGTGAATGTGTTACGAAAAAAGAAAAAGTAGAACACTATATAGGGAATAGGGTGCCATTTCAGACATACACCAAGTGTATGATTATGACAGCCATTTTGGTGGAGAAGGATGATGACGCACATCTATCTGAGTTTAAGGGGAATATCTTAGGACATGGTTTTATTTTCTGATCTTCTTGTCTAATCTGGGACTAGCCGCTTTGGGTTACAGGCTGGATTATCTTGGTGTTTACCAGGACTGATATAGACATGGCTCTGGTAACACCTACTACTGGTTCATAAGTCAAGACAGGTCAACATCAAGTCACCCTATTACCTATTCTTATCTGTACCACAGGAGGCTGCTGGGTGGAGGACGGCTCATAATAATGGCTGGAATGGAGTTAATGGAATGGTATTAAACACATGGAAACCATGGAAACCATGTGTTTGATGTGTTTGATACCATTTCCTTTATTCCGTTCCAGCCATTATAATGAGCCCGTCCTCCCCAATTAAGGTGCCAACGGCCGCCTGTGATCTGTAGACACAAAAACAGCTTTGGGTATGGTGTTATTTGTGTTACGTCCACATGCCTTATAATGCGTTCCTCTTCAGCTGAATAAATGCTTGAGGACAGTCCTCTGAAATAGACACTAGTGTGAGTCCGTCTCGATCCAATAATGCACCCAATTAAATAATTAAGAGCTAAATATTGTTTCAACTGCTGATTGCCCCTTTAATTGAAAGCCTTGATTCTCCTGCTTCAAACTGAAGATGTTCATAAACACATACTGTCTCATTATTAGCCAATCAAATAGCGACAGTTCTCCTTTCTGTAGCCGCCGGGCTATTCAATTCCGGTCCTGGCGGGCTGAAACATTTCTGGTTTTTATTACTACCTGGTAGTTAATTGCAATCACCTGGTGTCCCAGGTCTGAATTGGTCCCTGATTAGAAGGAGGTGAAAAAACGGAAGTGTTTGGACCCTCCAGAACCAGAATTGAAAAGCCCACCTCATAGTGTGTTGCTGTCTATGTTTAGATCCTCTATACCCCTTCACATAGTAGGGCAATGAAGCTGTCAGAGTACATGCCTCACACATTACATTTAAAAAATCTAATCTTGATCAGTTTCCCTCATTTCTTTAGTGTCTAACCTTGTTGTCTAGCTCCTGTGATCATTTTGGATGCGTTCATTTTTCTCTGTCTCCCTTCCTATCCCCATGTCCAGGTGCGGATATCAATGTAGTGGATGAGGTCAGAGGGAAAGGCATCACGGACTGGGCCCTGAAGACGGGTCGCTTCGAGGTCCTGCAGCGTCTCCGTGTCCTCCAGGCGCACCCCATTGCTGAGCAGTTCTGCGACAGCTACGTGATTGAGTGGCCCGAGCTGAAGGAGCTGGTTGCCAAAGGTTAGAGAGGCAGGCCAGCAACCGGAGGGATGCCGGTTCCAATCCCTGCCCCGGCTGGGAAAAATCTGGTGGGGAGTGGTCCGGTAACCTGCTGTTGTAACCTATAACCTGCTCCAGGGGTGCTGCACTGCTGCTGACCCATTTATCCAACCTCTCCATTGGGCATGCATAAGCTATGTGTGTTTCTCTGTAGTGTGTCACTGTGACACATCTGAATCAAACTTTATTGCAATGCAACAGATGTTACTAGGTGTTCTACATAGTAGTAAAATAAATGTTGTACATAGAAGTAATCTTCTATCTTCTATCTTCTTCTAAAGCCATGAGCCCCAAAACACTGACCCAACGTCTGAAGGACAGCCTGACCATTAGCTTACCCAACGACCCTCAGGACAACGGAGTGATGGACCACCTGGTGAGGATGACCACATCCATCCACAGCCCTCTAGTCTCCACGGGCTGCCGGCCCCTCTGCCCCACAAGCCCCCCCGAGGTTGGGAAGCGCCGCCTGGCTGTGCCGGAGCTGATGGAGAAGCACAGCAGCAAGGACCTGGAGGAAAGCTCTGTGTGTCATAGTAACGGTGTGAAATGTTCCTTCACGCCTGCGCCAGCGTCATCGAGCTCCTTCTCGCTCACCAACTGCTGCTCGAACACGGAGCGGAGGGATAGTGGTCTCTCGACGGCTGCTAATGGCTTACGGAACTTCCTCCCTCGTTCCATGACCCACCAGAACTCCGTATTCCCGTCCGGTTGCATCCCCAAGATCACCTTCACTAAGTCTCTGGACAAAACACCTAAGAAGGCGAAGAAGGTGAAGAGGCACAAGGGCCACCTGGAGCCTCCGGTCTGGAAGTACAAGTCGGAGAAGGAGGAGAAGAAAAAGGAAAAGCAGAAGTTGGAGGAAGAGAAGGAAGCGCAAGAGAAGGCACTTAAGAAAGTTAAGAAGAAGGCAGCCAAGGCGGCAGCCAAGGCAAAGGAGCCCGCCAAGGCAAGTTAAACTGCCAACTGTCTGTCGTTAAACTGCCACAGAGTGGGAGAACAGAACCCTGGGAAAATAGAACGACCTCTGTGCTGTCATCAGATGGAAGAGGAAGCGAGACCCCCCACTTGCAGTTTTTGTTTTCTGGTTGAATGAAAGTCAATGAACTAAGTAGACCAGAGCCAGCTGCTATTGCATTGGTGTCTATGGGAGACCCACCCCTGTTAAGTAATTTTTTTCAATGCTTCAGTGATTTATCCACCATCTTTGCTGTCATCTCCTACCAACTCCATTGTATCCACTGTGATGATGTCATATAAGGAGGACAAGGGGACGGCTCCCCTGTGGTGGCACCTGCCTGGGGTCATCATGGAGGCCCAGTTGCACCCCTACAGTGGGGCCTCCAATAACATGGGTGGAAACTAGCATCTGAGCTGGACTAAGTCAAATGGATGGACTGTTGTTTTTCCTCTCTGCTGGGATATGCTGCTATAAGGCAATGGCCTGGACATTCCTAGACATTATTATTCATGTATCTTTCAAGTGGAATTCGCGTTTTCTGTGTTAACTTATTTAGTTTATTTATTTATTTTTGGAGAGTTCAGCCGTTAAAAATATCAGTAGATTTTGTTTGGTCTTCCACGCTCTTAACTAACCAATCGAAACTGTGAAGGAACCAGAGCCATAGCAAAGAAATGTATAATTTCTGATAAGCAAGGGCTTGAACTTACTGAAAAAGAAAACAGGACATTAACATGAGTTAGGTAAATGATGAGGGAGGATTATGGACAAGGTTTCAGAGTTTACTGTTTGATAAACCTCATGGTCAGATATACCACAACCAGACCTGGGTTCAAATACAATTTAAAAGGATTTCAAATGCTTCAGCTGTGCTTAAGAGAGCTTGTCTGTTGATATGGAACCAATAGAAAAGTCCCAAAAGTGCAAACCGCACCTACCTGGCACTCCAGGCAGGCTAAAGCAAACACTGAATGTTTTTGTAAGATTCCGAATAGTATTTGAACCCAGGTCTGACCACAATGCACATCTGAGTTCCAATCTACTCTATGCTTTGTTTTCCTATGTACTCCAATCAGCTGTCTTCCAAAGAAGTTGATTTTACACTCTTACCGTTGACAGGACTTTTGTGAGAGATGTTTTTTATCAAGAGTTGTAATATAATATCAGGGATCCCCTCAGTTTTGATGAGGCTCAGGTACTTAAAGATAAGCCTGAGTGGCTTATTATTACGTTGCACAAACCTGCTTAGTTAGAAGAAGTCTTACATTACAAACATGTTGTTTGTAGATCCAGTTCACATGTTGTGATAGAGCTGAAATGTGAAGTATGTTGTTCAGTAGGAATCAACTTCTGTCCTAATAGTATGTGGTGGTTATTTTTAAATAACACTATCGCCCTCATCAAAGATTCAGAAAGACTTAGAAACATATGTGTAGTGACAATTGCCAGTCAAAAATATATGCACTCACTCATGTAAGTCACTCTGGATAAGAGAGTCTGCTAAATGACTAAAAATGTAAAAATGTAAAAGCCATTGATGTGTCAGAAACGGCTCCTACAGTATGAAAAGGTATGATAGGCCTAATGAATATCCTATTACAAAACCAAACATTAAAACGTTTAACAACACAACATCCATGTGACTTAGTGATGATCCTTCTTCCCCCTATATCCGATAGCTATAGCAGCTTTGGCTATAGGCTAAGCTGGGTTAGTGTGGTTCTGAGCTCAGTGAGCTTGTTAACTGGTGCTATTATAGTCACAGTCAGATCAGGCCATAACCATACAGTCTAACCATAGATACAGCTGTAACTATGGGGCATAACCATATAGTCTAACCATTGATACGTCTGTAACCATGGGGCATAACCATACAGTCTAACCATTGATACGTCTGTAACCATGGGGCATAACCATACAGCATAACTATACAGTAACTTCAGAAAGTATTCACACCCCTTGACTTTTTCCACATTTTGTTTTGTTACAAAGTGGGATTCAAATGGATTTAACTGTAATTTTTTTGTCAATGAGCTACACAAAATACTCTGTAATGTCAACATGGAAAAAAAATTTAAATGGAAGAAAACAAATATATTTTGATTAGATAAGTATTCAATCACATTTGGCAGTGATTACAGCTGTGAGTCTTTCTGGGTAAGTCTCTAAACGCTTTGCAAACCTGGGTTGTACAATAGTTGCCCATTATTCTTTTTAAATTATTCAAGCTCTGTCAAGTTGGTTGTTGATCATTGCTAGACAGCCATTTTCAAGTCTTGCCATAGATTTTCAAAATGATTTAAGTCCAAACTGTAATTAGGCAACTCAGGAACATTCAATGTCATCTTGGTAAGTAACTCCAGTGAATATTTGGCCTTGTCACGATCGTCGTAGGAGTGAGTAGACCAAGGCGCAGCGTGTGAAACAAACATGACTTTAATTAGTTAAAGTATACCAAAACACGACTCGTGAAGTCCACGGTAAACAAATACCGACACGGAACAAAAACCCACAAACACAAAGTGAAACACCGACAGTTAAATATGGCTCCCAATCAGAGACAACCAGCCGACAGCTGACACTCGTTGCCTCTGATTGGGAGTCACACAGGCAAACATAGAAACAGACAACCTAGAACACCCAACAATGAAACAGAACACATAGAATGAACACACCCTGGCTCAACATAATGAGTCCCAGAGCCAGGGTGTGACAGGCCTTGTGTTTTAGGTTATTGTCCTGCTGAAAAGTGGATTTGTCTCCCAGTGTCTGTTGGAAAGCAGACTGAACCAGGTTTTCCTCTAGCATGTTGCTTGTGCTTAGCTCTATTCCTTTTCTTTTTATCCTAAAAAACTTCCTCGTCCTTGCCGATGACAAGCATACCCATAATATGAAAATATAAAGAGTGGTACTCAGTGATGTGTTGTGTTGGATTTGCCCCAAACATAACACTTTGTATTCAGGACAAAAAGTTCCTTTCTTTGCCACATTTTCTGCAAACAGGATTCATGTTTTGAAATATTTGTATTCTGTACAGGCTTCCTTCTTTTCACTCTGTCATTTAGGTTAGTATTGTGGAGTAACTACAATGTTGTTGATCCATCCTCAGTTTTCTTCTATCAGCCATTTAACTCTGTAACTGGTTTAAAATCACCATTGGCCTCATGGTGAAATCCCTGAGCTGTTCCCTTCCTCTCCGGCAACTGAGTTAGGAAGGATGCCTGTATTGTTTGATTTGATTTGATTTGATTTGATCTTTGTAGTGACTGGATGTATTGATACACAATCCAAAGTGTAATTATTAACTTTACCATGCTCAAAGGGATATTCAGTTGTCTTCTTTTTATTTATTTTACCCATCTACCTAAATATAGATGCATCTGCAACCATCTGTAACCATGGGGCGTTACCATACAGCCTAAATATAGATAAGTCTGTAACCATGGAGCGTAACCATACAGACTAACTATAGATACGTATGTAACCATGGGGCGTAACCATACAGCCTAACTATACTTCTGTAACCATGGGGCGTAACCATACAGCCTAACTATACTTCTGTAACCATGGGGCATAACCATACGGCCTAAGCATAAGTAGAAGCGTAACCCAAAGGACGCAACACATGGGAGGGATAATGTCCACTCGATCTCTTATGTAATACTTCATGTTTTAGATCTGATTTGGGTCAGTTTTGGTAAAGGTACCTGTACCTCCAGCTATATAGCATCTAGTGTTTTAGATCTGACTTGGGGTCAGTGGAGGTAAAAGTCCAGTTACTTCCAACCTGTCATAAAAAGGAGAAAAAATATGAATGGTTTGTTTGAATAAATAATAAATTAGCCTCAGACAGGAGATACATACTGTATATCACAGACTGTTTATGCATTTGCATGATGACTCATGTTTTCTATAATTTAGAGAAATGGCTCCACAGCATATTATGATACAGTACAAAAGCAAATTTATTTTCCACAGATATTTTCATTGCTCTTTAGTTTAAAACTATAAAAGTGCTACACTTCTTTTGAAAGGCTGAATGTCCAAGCAAACATTGCCTGTCTCTCTATTCTATTGAATAAAATCATAAACAGGATTTAATTCTCCCTCCTCTCTCTGTGAGATTATTGCACAACAACAAAACAAACTGTGCTGCCCATACATTACATTTTAGTCATTTAGCAGACGCTCTTATCCAGAGCGACTTACAGGAGCAATTAGGGTTATTCCTAGATTTTTCACCTAGTCGGCTCGGGGATCAGAACCAGCAACCTTTCGGTTACTGGCACAACGCTCTAACCCACTAAGCTACCTGCCGCCCATACATAGAAATAGAATGATATCATTCTCTGTTTATGGTGCTGCCTGGTGCTGAAAGAATGTTGAAAAAACCCCAGATCTCAACATCTTACAGATTAATGTTGGGAAGGAAAAAGACATGCTGCTGATCAAAAAAGAACAGTTTGCTCTCTCTTCGCTAAAACGTGTGAGGGTGAGGGTTACCAGCTGTGTGTGTATCTGTAGATAGATTAAGGGCCATGAGAACAAGGAATTCACATTACTCAAATTAAGAAAATATCTCACCCACGCTTCAGTGTAATTCAGCATTCCCATGAAGGAGGCAGTCATATTTGGATCATGGTGGGAGATCAACAGTTCAGTATTAGATAAAGTGTTCCACTGGATATAGATAGCTACATTTATTTGATTTAAACACACTGTAGGCCTTGCAGACCTCCTTTTCTATGATATTTCATATTGACCCAAGCCGGCCAAAATGGTGCTATATTTCCCAAAGCTCTACATGCCTATTATAAACTGGGTGGTTCGAGCCCTGAATGCTGATTGGCTGACAGCCGTGGTATATCAGACTGTATACCACGGGTATGACAAAACACTTATTTTTAATGCTCTAATTACGTTGGTAACCCGTTTATAACAGCAATAAGGCACCTTGGGGGTTTGTGGTATATGGCCAATTGACCACGGCTAAGGGCTGTGTCCAGGGACTTCGCGTTGCGTCGTGCATAAGAACAGCCCTTAGCCGTGGTATGTTGACAATATACCACAAACCCCCGAGGTGCCTTATTGCTTAATTATAGTATAGGCCTAAACAGTGTGTGTTCAAAAATAGTATTCATATTTGTTTCTGCAACACTAAAGGGGATGGAGACCGGACACCAATTGCAATACCATTGACAGTGAATGTGTCATTGCCCATGAGTCAGATCTGCAACCACTGAAGGGTTAGGTCCAATGGGTAGGAGTAGGGATCGATTTGGGACTGGCTGTCTCAGTCAGAGCTGCGTCCTGAATGGCACCCTATTCCCTATATATGGCACTACTTGTTCTATGGGCAAGAAGCACCCTATTCCTAAAAGTATAGTGCACTACATAGGGAATAGGGTGCCATTTGGGATGCATCCAAATAATATTCTGTCCTGGGGTCCTGCTGTCTGTCTTGGGGTCCAGTCACAGTGTCCTCGGGAAGCGCCATGCCATTGGACAGCTGCTCTTCTAACGTCCCACTGGGTATAGCAACCTCAGGTTACACTGTCTGTCTCCAGTACAGACAGTGTTAATGATACAAAGACAGTGACCCCCCCACACACACACATGCACACACAGTGTGTGTAGGCCTAATAATCAAGTTATAATTCAAGTTTAAGAGCATAAATGTTGTCTGATTGATGCTTTATTATGTACTGTAGTTATAGCATTTACTACAGTCTATCTTCAACTCCCATCACTGAGAGACCCAAAGCCACATCTGTAACCCTTTAATTGCAGTATTCAGAGAAGCCAGGCTACAAGGGCAAGAACCAGAGGAATAAATGAGAGGTTTGCCAGAAACAGGAAAACTGCTCTGAAAGGACGTTCCAGCCAGACCCCGTTCAAGACAATGAGGGGTGAGATAATCTCTGTAGGGCTTATCTTGCACTTGAATCAGGAACAAGTTAGGTTCATAGGCAGGCTAAGTACTTTATTGAGATGGGGCCATGGGGTTGTTTGTGAAGTTATTTCAAAGCGGAAGACTGACGTCTAGTAACCTAGTGTTCCAGACCCAAACTTAGTGTTTTCGGTTTTCAGTGAAAGATTTTTGCCTGAGATACAGTGTCACTGCGCCGCTCTTGAGACGAGACAAATCTGGTCAACTTGGACCATATCTCTGACATATTTAGGAGGGTTACCGTCAGGTTTCTTGGATATTCAGTTTAGAGTTTTTTTTTATTGGAGCAGAACTGTCTTTTTTTAAACAAAAGGCTAAGAGGAGCGCCATAGAATAAATAACCTACTGAGGTTGATCCGCATCGAAAGAGGAAAGGATCGAGATGTGGAAATATTTTAGGATTCAGTGTTTTAGATCTGACTTGGGGTCAGTGGAGGTAAAAGCCCAGTTACTTCCGACCTGTGTCTGTCACGACTTCTGCCGAGGCTGCCTCCCCTCCTTGTTCGGGAAGGTTTCCGCGTTCGGCGTCACCGGCTTACTAGCGTCTGCCGATCCATTTAACATCACTCCATTTGTCTTGTCTTCAATCACACACACCTGGTCCTTATCCCTCATTAGTCATTGTATAAGTGTTCACTCTGCTTCCTTGTCTGTGTGGGTGATTGTTTATTGTGGAGGTTAGTGAAGCTCGGTGGAGCTCGTGTATTTTGTATCGACGGGAGAATTTCCCGTGTGCTTTGTATTTTCCAGTGCGCCTGTTTTGTGCCCTGGAGTGTATTTTGCGGATCAAGGCCTGTTATTCTGTGATTTACCCTCCTGCGCCTGACTCCTTCAACACCACCTCATCACAGTGTCATAAGAAAGAGAGAAAAAAAGGAATGGTTTGTTTGAATATATTATGAATGAAGCTATTTTTATTAGATGCTAAGAACTATCCTCAGACCATAAATATCAGTCTATAAAATAAACAAACAAGACCAATTAGGAAAAACAAACAAACAAATAGGAGGAGTAAGATCAAAACTAAAGCAATAATTTCTACATTTACATAAACTTTTCATGTCAGTAGATCAACCTACCAAGATAAACCCAGTGAAATCTGCTCACAGCATCTCTATAACAGTTGTCTCAGTTCCCCCTTGCAGTTGGGGAACTAGTCAATATAAAGTCAACTTCCAAATAAAAGCCCTACGGAGGTCAGAAAGAGACCCGAGTAGCACCTGTAAGTAAAGATTGAGGCCTCCTCCCAAATGGCACCCTATTCCCTATGTAATGCACTACTTTTGACCAGAGCCCTATAGGCCCAGTTCAATAGGGAATAGGGTGGCATTTGGGATGCAACCTGAGATTGGGAGTCCTCAGACAGGAGATACATACTGTATATCACAGACTGTTTATGCATTTGCATGATGACTCATGTTTTCTATAACTTTGAAAAATGGCTCCACAGCATATTATGATACCGTACAAAAGTACATTTATTTTCCACAGGTATTTTCATTCAGGATGTGGTCTTTAGTTAAAAATGTAAAAGTAATAAACTTCTTTTGAAATAATTGGCTGTTGGCTGTCAAAGGAAAGCATATTACTCAAGACTTTCTCTATTCTATTGAAGAAGTTCATCATATAAACAGGATTTCATTCTCCATCCTCTCTCTGTGCGATTATTGCACAAATAACAAAGACTTTCAGCATAGCCTGGAAAGAACAGAGACAAACTGTGCAGCCCAAAGAAATAGAATGAGATGTCCCTCTTATTTCTGTGGTGTTGTCTGGCTCTGAAAGAATGCTGAGAACAACCTGGATCTCAACATGTTACGTGGGGAAGGAAAAATACATGCTGCTGATCAAAAGAAGAAGAACATTTAGCTCTCTCTTCGCTTAGACTGTTGGTGTGAGGCCTCCCAGCGATGGAGCAGCTGTACATAGGCCAAGAGGATAGATTAAGGACCATCCATGCGAACAAGGAAGGAAATGTATATTACGCCAATGAAGAGAGATATCACTCAGGCTTTTTTGTAGGCTAGGTTGACCTGGTTAAAATAGTGAAATATAGTGAAATATTCCCCTAGTGCTCCGACTGTCCTTTTGAGGAGGATATGAGCCTAATATAGTAACATATTCGATACAATGTGTGTTCAAAAATAATATTTGTTGCTGTAACACAAGAGAGGAAGGACGCCAGATACCAGTTGTAATATCACTGACATCATCATCCATGGGTTAGGTCCAAGGGGTAGCAGTAGGGGTAGGGAGCAAATTTACAGTATGTCCCAAATTACACCCTATTCCCTACATAGAGCAGACCCAAAGCCACATCTGTAACCCTGTAATTGCAGTATTCAGAGACGCCAGGCTACAAGCGCGAAAACCAGAGGAAAAAATGAGATGCTTGCCAGAAACAGGAAAACTGCTCTGAGAGCACATTCCAGCAAGATCCCTTCCAGGACAATGATGGGTGGGACAAAATTGTGTATTTAAATCTCAGTAGGCTTGATATTGTGCATGAATCAGGAACAGAGCAAAGTTAGGTTCCTAGGCAGGCTACATAGGATACTTTATCGAGATGGAGACATTAGCTGTTTGAGAAGTTCTTTGAATGTGTAGTTCTTTAAAAGCCGAGGACTGACGTCTAGTTGCCTATGTTCCAGGCTTGAGCTTCGTGTTTTCGGTTTATCAGTGGAAGATTTTTGCCCGAGATACAGGGTCACTGTGCCGTGCTTCAGGCGAGACAAATATGTTCAACTTGGACGGACCATATCTCTGACATATTTAGGAGGGTCGCTCATTTTTCCCGTCAGGTATTTTGGAGTTTCAGTTTAGAATCATTTTTATTGGAGGAGTGAAATACTTTTAAGAGACCGAAAAGGTTGAGAGGAATGGTCCATGTAGTAGCTGATCAGCATCGAAAGAGGAAAGGATGTGGGGGGATTTTAGGATTGAACATCTGGAACTAAAAGCGTTCACCGAACTCAAAGGTTGACACATGAATGGAAGACGTATCTAATACATTACTTTTGGATGTCTTTTAACACTTTCAAATAGTTTAAAAGACATTTTGTTTTTAATATGGGACAAACGTGGTGCATTTCTGTGGTACACAATTTGGCTTCCTCATGAAACGCAAGAGGAAAGAAAGCTGTGCATTGAAGGAAAAAACAGGTAAAAGTCACATTCAATCTGACATTTGTGACAGCTGTTGCCTATTCGTTTAACTTTTTGTCTAGGTGTGGATTGCTTTTCTAGTAACTAGGTGGGAACATTTACAAGTATCTGTTGTAGGCTATGATTTCCTATTATTGTGAGAATGAACAGGTGGATGCTGGTAAGTCACGTAGCCTACCTCTAATTAAGCAATATTGGCCAAGGAGGTGTGGTATATGGCCAATATACCATGGCTAAAGGCTGTTCTTACGCACGACGCAAGGCGGAGTGCCTGGATACAGCCCTTAGCCGTGGTATATTGGTCACATACCACAAACCCCCAATGTACCTTATCGCTATTATAAACTGGTTACCAATGTAATTAGAACAGTAAACAAGTAATTTTGTGTCATACTCGTGGTTTATGGTCTGATATACCACAGCTTTCAGCCAATCAGTAATGCCTAACTGACACATGTCACACCTTGACCACATCAGAAAAGCGCCAAACCACAGCAGTGCTTATTGGATAGAACACCTTCACATGTTTACACTCTAGAATGTCTCCAGCAGTGCCATTGAGCATTATCCTTTTCATTTATGGGCTAGGTTAGTGTACAAGAAAATGTCCTGATATAACCATGTTATAATACTTAAATAATATAGTTGGACATTTAGCCTACTGTAATATGAATCATATTAGTCACTCCATACTTTAGCAGTTTCTCAGTATTTAAAACACATCTGGAAATATCCTTTGAGAACCAAATATTCCTTTGAGAACCCCTCTTTTTCGAATGAAAGGAATGGAGGCTAAAGAGGCAGAGAATAAATGTGCAAGATAAACATGACTTCTACATATTAACTATTCACTCCAAGATAAGGCACGGTTCAGGTTACAGAATAGAACTTTGCGAAACATGGGCCTTATATTGAGTCTATTGAAAGCAAAACCCAGAGCCCATATTCATAAGGCTTGTCAGAGTAACAGTGCTTCCGATCTAAGATCAGGTTTTCCTTTTAGATAATAATGAATATGATTATTTGGACAGGGGGGGAGTGCTGATCTAGTATCAGGTCCCCCCGTCCATGTAATCTTATTCATTATGATCTAAAGTCAAAACTGTTCCTAGATGATCTCTCTTACTCGACACTTTATAAATACAGTCCTATTCGATCCTTCCCATCATCAGTAATCTTTTAAAGTGTTGTGTGGGCTGCTATGATGAGCCATGATGTAGGCCACCTGTAGTGGAGGAGCCAGGTGTGGTTAACTGTACCAGGGAGCTAGGTGTGGTTAACTGTACCAGGGAGCTAGGTGTGTTTAACTGTACCAGGGAGCCAGGTGTGGTTAACTGTACCAGGGAGCTAGGTGTGGTTAACTGTACCAGGGAGCCAGGTGTGGCTAACTGTACCAGGGAGCTAGGTGTGGTTAACTGTACCAGGGAGCCAGGTGTGGTTAACTGTACCAGGGAGCTAGGTGTGGTTAACTGTACCAGGGAGCCAGGTGTGGTTAACTGTACCAGGGAGCTAGGTGTGGTTAACTGTACCAGGGAGCCAGGTGTGGTTAACTGTACCAGGGAGCCAGGTGTGGTTAACTGTAACAGGGAGCCAGGTGTGGTTAACTGTACCAGGGAGCTAGGTGTGGTTAACTGTACCGGGAGCTAGGTGTGGTTAACTGTACCAGGGAGCTAGGTGTGGTTAACTGTACCAGGGAGCCAGGTGTGGTTAACTGTAACAGGGAGCCAGGTGTGGTTAACTGTACCAGGGAGCTAGGTGTGGTTAACTGTACCAGGGAGCCAGGTGTGGTTAACTGTACCAGGGAGCCAGGTGTGGTTAACTGTACCAGGGAGATAGGTGTGGTTAACTGTACCAGGGAGCCAGGTGTGGTTAACTGTACCAGGGAGCCAGGCTCTCTTTGCAAATCCCTTGAGGTATTTTGTTTCCTTTGTATCATTTATCATGTTGGTTTAAGCATAGGGGTATAGAGGGAGAGCTGATTCTACCTCACATGTTAGAGAGAACACACACAATGTGTGCGTCCCTAATGGCACCCTATCCCCTACATAGTGCACTACTTTTGACCGGTGTCTTATGGGCCCTGGTCAAAAGTAGTGCACTAAATCTGTAATAGGGTGCCATTTGGGATGCACACAGTAATTGAAGCATATAGACAGACCACTAAGCCTTGCTTTGCCATGTCTGTCTAATGCAGATACAATCAGACATACCAGACCAGACTACCAGTCTCTCTCTCATCATAACAAGCTCTGAGTCACAGCAATCACAGGATTAAAGCTGTAAAGACTTTACTAATCAACAGATACTAAACATACAAACATGGATATCTGTGGAAAAAAAATATTAGCTGAATGACAAAGATATAGGTAGATATTGTTCTGACATCTGATCCTATACAGTAAATTGTCTTACAAAGTTAAATACATCGGGCCAGTTGTTTAGGCCTATAGTGGCCCAATGGAGGAGAATGCTGCTGTTGCCTCCACTGGTTCCTTTCTTTCCTCCACCACCACAACATCTACACTATGTAATCCAGATGGAACTTTCCTTCCTCCCACCACAACAAGGAAAACAATCGCCCTTGTGTGGGCATGAAGCCCGGCAGGAGATCGATAGCGCAGTTGTATGGCCTGTGAGGAGGTAGGCCCTTGGCACGCCTCTTACTAAACACCTCCCCCAGATCTCAATACTCCCGGGGATCGCCTGCCAGGTCTGGGCCGGTGACGGAGTCTGTAGCCGCCGTCCTCCCGGTGGCAACCACCGCTAGGGCGGTAGCCGGTTCGGAGTGCAGGACCTGGGGAAGAGGTGAGGACTGGTAGGTGGTCTGGGATGGTGGTTTTGGCTGATGAGTGGTCGGTGGAGACTGGAACAGGACGGGGACGGAGCCTCCCACCAGGATGAGCCGCCCCATGGACCAGTCTATCCGGGGTTTGTGGGCGACCAACCAGGGGTGCCCGAGGACGAGGGGACACTCCGGAGAGTCCACAATGAAAAACTGGATATCCTCCCATAGCACCCCTGCCACCCGGACATGCACGGGGACAGTGCGTCCAGTCCCATGACCGGAACCGGCTCGGAGAGAGAGGGTAACGGAACGCTCCACCCTTGGGCCAGCCCCACGTCCATCAGGTGTCCCGCGGCCTCAGAATCCACCAGTGCATGCGCCCACTGAACCCTGACGGGGAGAAAAGTCCGGGAGTCTCTGGAGTTGGGGTTTCGGTTCCGGCTCGCTAGCACCTCTCCTGATACTAGCGAGCCCCCCATTTCCCGGCTTCTCCGGGCATGAGTCGCAATGGTGACCTGCCTGGCCGCAGTACAGGCAATGTCCCCGGTGCAGACACCTCTGCCTCTCCATCCTGGACAAGTGCGCCGCACCCAGCTGCATAGCCTCCTCCTGTGGCGTCTCCTCCCTGAATCGGCTGAAAACCTCTGGGCTGATAGGGGGACGCGGAGGCGCGCCTTGCGTCATCCCTCTCTCGTGCGCCCTCTCACGATGCCGATTGTCAACCCACACCGAGAGGTCGACAAGGCCGTCCAGTTGCTCAGGCAGCTCCCTGAAGGAGAGTTCGACCTTCATCCCCTCTGATAGCCCCTGCGCGTAAAGGACGACCAGGGCGGCCCCCTCCCATCCTGCCTCATGAGCCCGGGTCCACGGAGTAGTCCGCCACCGAACGGTCACTCTGCCGACAGGCCGTGAGCTGCCTCCCTGCCTCATGCTCCGACACCACCCGAGAGGTGTCGAACACCTTGCTTAGCTCCCGGGTGAATTGGTAGGAGTCGGAGCACGCCGGAGTTTGGCTCTCCCACTCCGCGGTAGCCCAGGAAAGGGCCCGACCCGTCAACAGAGTGATGATGTAGGCCACCCGGCCCTGCTCCGTCGGGATGGAGGAGGGTTGTAGGCTGAATAACAGGGAACATTGGGTGAGGAATTCCTTGCAGCCCTCTGGATGTCCGTCATACCTCTCCGGAGGTGGTAGGCGGGGTCCCGCGATGTTGCAGGCGAGACTGGAGACGCCGCTGCCGTGGCTTCCGCTCCACCGGCTGCCGGGGCTGGTCGAGTGTCCACCCGGCCCGAGTGTCCATCAGCTGGCGGAGATTCTCGGTGATCTGCTGCAGGCTGCGGTTGTGTTGGTTCAGCATAGCGCCCTGCGTTGCCAATGCACTCCGATACTGTGCTGCCTCCACTGGGTCCATATTGGCTCAGTTTTCTGTAAGGATTGGTGTGAGGTATGACCCAGGTGCGGTGCAGGATAGACAGTAGGCAGTAGGCAGAGATGGTGAAACATGGATCTTTACTGGTGGTCCCGAAGCCAGGATACATCTACACTATATCATCCAGATGGAACTTTCCTTCAACCCACCACCACAACATCTACACTATGTAGTCCAGATGGAACTCGAAAAAAAATAGAGAAAATCACATTGTATGATTTTGTATGAATTTATTTGCAAATTATGGTGGAAAATAAGTATTTGGTCACCTACAAACAAGCAAGATTTCTGGCTCTCACAGACCTGTAACTTCTTCTTTAAGAGGCTCCTCTGTCCTCCACTCGTTACCTGTATTAATGGCACCTGTTTGAACTTGTTATCAGTATAAAAGACACCTGTCCACAACCTCAAACAGTCACACTCCAAACTCCACTATGGCCAAGACCAAAGAGCTGTCAAAGGACACCAGAAACAAAATTGTAGACCTGCACCAGGCTGGGAAGACTGAATCTGCAATGGTGCTTGGTTTGAAGAAATCAACTGTGGGAGCAATTATTAGGAAATGGAAGACATACAAGACCACTGATAATCTCCCTCGATCTGGGGCTCCACGCAAGATCTCACCCCGTGGGGTCAAAATGATCACAAGAACGGTGAGCAAAAATCCCAGAACCACACGGGGGGACCTAGTGAATGACCTGCAGAGAGCTGGGACCAAAGTAACATAGCCTACCATCAGTAACACACTACGCCGCCAGGGACTCAAATCCTGCAGTGCCAGACGTGTCCCCCTGCTTAAGCCAGTACATGTCCAGGCCCGTCTGAAGTTTGCTAGAGTGCATTTGGATGATCCAGAAGAGGATTGGGAGAATGTCATATGGTCAGATGAAACCAAAATAGAACTTTTTGGTAAAAACTCAACTCGTCGTGTTTGGAGGACAAAGAATGCTGAGTTGCATCCAAAGAACACCATACCTACTGTGAAGCATGGGGGTGGAAACATCATGCTTTGGGGCTGTTTTTCTGCAAAGGGACCAGGACGACTGATCCGTGTAAAGGAAAGAATGAATGGGGCCATGTATCGTGAGATTTTGAGTGAAAACCTCCTTCCATCAGCAAGGGCATTGAAGATGAAACGTGGCTGGGTCTTTCAGCATGACAATGATCCCAAACACACCGCCCGGGCAACGAAGGAGTGGCTTCGTAAGAAGCATTTCAAGGTCCTGGAGTGGCCTAGCCAGTCTCCAGATCTCAACCCCATAGAAAATCTTTGGAGGGAGTTGAAAGTCTGTGTTGCCCAGCGACAGCCCCAAAACATCACTGCTCTAGAGGAGATCTGCATGGAGGAATGGGCCAAAATACCAGCAACAGTGTGTGAAAACCTTGTGAAGACATAGAAAACGTTTGACCTGTGTCATTGCCAACAAAGGGTATATAACAAAGTATTGAGACACTTTTGTTATTGACCAAATACTTATTTTCCACCATAATTTGCAAATAAATTCATTAAAAATCCTACAATGTGATTTTCTGGAATTTTTTTTCTCATTTTGTATGTCATAGTTGACGTGTACCTATGATTAAAATTACAGGCCTCTCTCATCTTTTTAAGTGGGAGAACTTGCACAATTGGTGGCTGACTAAATACTTTTTTTCCCCACTGTACTTACACTGACACTCCAACACATACAGTACCAATCAAAAGTTTGGACACACCTACTCATTCCAGGGTTTTTCTTTATTTTTTACTATTTTCTACATTGTAGAATAATAGTGATGACATCAAAACTATGAAATAACACATATGGAATCATGTAGTAACTAAAAAAATGTTCAACAAATCAAAATATATTTTTGATTTTAGATTCTTCAAAGTAGCCACCCCTTGACATGATGACAGCTTTGCACACTATTGGCATTCTCTCAACCAGCTTCATGAGGTAGTCACCTGGAATGCATTTCAATTAACAGGTGTGCTTTGTTAAAGGTTAATTTGTGGAATTTCTTTCCTTCTTAATGCGTTTGAGCCAATCAGTTGTGTTGTGACAAGGTAGAGGGGTATACAGAAGATAGCCCTATTTGGTATAAGACCAAGTTCATATTATGGCAAGAACAGCTCAAATATACAAAGAGAAACGACAGTCCATCATTACTTTAAGACATGAAGGTCAGTCAATCTGGAAAATGTCAAGAACTTTGAAAGTTTCTTCAAGTGCAGTCACAAAAACCATGAAGCACTATGATGAAACTGGCTCTCATGAGGACCGCCACAGGAAAGGAAGACCAGAGTTACCTCTGCTGCAGAGGATAAGTTCATTAGAATTAACTGCACTTCTGATTGCAGCCCAAATAAATGCTTCACAGAGTTCAAGTAACAGACACATCTCAACATCAACTGTTCAGAGGAGACTGCGTGAATCAGTCCTTCATGGTCGATTGCTGCAAAGAAACCACTACTAAAGGACACCAATAATAAGAAGAGACTTGCTTGGGCAAAGAAACACGAGCAATAGACATTAGACCGGTGGAAATCTGTTCTCTGGTCTGATGAGTCCAAATTTGAGATGTTCGGTTCCAACTGCTGTGTCCTTTTGAGACACAGAGTAGGTGAACGGATGATCTCCACATGTGTGATTCTCACGTGAAGCATGGAGGAGGTGTGATGGTGTGGGGGTGCTTTGCTGGTGACACTGTCAGTGAT